AACTTTGACATTGGAATGGGAGCACTTTGAAGGAGATTCTGAGAAAGTATTATTTTGTCTGAGGACTTGTCTTTTTGATATATGGTAACATAAGTGTTCTTGAGAAATACTTGTCATTTCTTGAGTTGAAAATATTGAAAAGAAAAATTGAAGCCTTGGTTGCAATATTGAAGGATTCTATGGACAAATATATTGAATGATGCAGGAAGTAGCCAAAGAAGATAGAGACGGTCTAGTCACAGTACCAAAAATTTTGTCCTGATGTTAAACCATTTTAGGAGGTATATCGCATTATCATGTGAACCTATGGTACTGGAGAAATAAGTTCAAGCTATACTGAAACCCTGTACAAGGTCGTGATGAGTCGGAACTGACTCCACAGAAACAACAACAATACTGAAGGTATTAACGAAAAACAAGGAAGGCTCCAGGAATTGATGGAATACCTATTGAGGTGCTTCATTAAATAGATACAACGCTGGAAGTGCTCATTTGTCTTTGCCAGGAAATTTGGAAGACTGCTACCTGTTCAGTAGACTGGAAGAGATCCATATTTGTGCCAATTCTAAAGAGAGGTAATTCAACAGAATGCAGAAACTGTCAAACAGTTATCAGTCCTGGTGTGGCACTGTGGAATAAGGCACTGGACCGCACGCAGTTGGTTTGAACCACAAGGTCAGTAGTTGAAACTCACCAGCTGCTCCTTGGAAACCACCTTGTACAAGGTCACTATGAGTCAGCACTTGACAGCAACACTCATTAACACACACTAACACAATTTTGCTGAAGATCATTCAGAACCAGTTACAGCCGTATACTGACAGAACTGCCAGAAATTCAAACCTGATGCAGGAGAGCACCTGGAATAAGGCATATCATGCTGATATCAGGTGAATCTTGACTGAAAGAGACACCAGAAAGAGATTTTCCTGTGTTTTATTAACTATGTAAAGGTATTTGACTGTGTGGATCATAAAAAATTATGGGTAAGATTACAAAAATAGGAATTCCAGACCACTTAGATCAAGAGGCTGAACAGAAAAAGGGAATGTCACATGGTTTAAAATCAGGAAAGATGTGTGTCAGGGGTTGTATCCTTTCACTGTACTTAGTCAATCTGTATACTGAACAATAACGTAAGAAGCTTGAGTATATGGTAAAGAATATGATATCAGGATTAAAGGAAGACTCATTAACAACCTTCAATATGCAGATGACACAGCCTGGCTTGCTGAAAGTGAACAGGACTTGAAGCACTAACTGATAAAGGTAAAAGATGGCAGCATTCAGAATGGACTACACCTCAAAATAAGTAAAACAGAAATCTTCAGCCAAGATGCTGCAATATCATGCTAAATGGAGAAGAGACTGAAGTTGTGAAGTATTTCGTTTTCCTTGGATCCACAATCAATGCCCATGGAAACAGCAATAAAGAACTCAAATGACATATTGCATTAGGCAGAACTGCTGCAAAAGGTTTTAAAGTATTAAAAGATAATGATGTCCCTTTGAGGACTAAGCTGTGCCTAGTGGAGCTGTGGTATTTTCAGGTTTCTCATATGCATATGAAAGTTGGACAGTAAGTAAGGAAGACTGAAGAAGAATTGAGAGTGGCAAGACTTCATCTCATGTACTTTGGACATGTTATCAGGAGGGAGCAGTTCCTAGAGAAGAGGAAGTCTCTTTACAGAGGTGGAGTGACACCATGGCTGCAACACTGGGCTCAAACATAGTAAAAAATTGTAAGGCTGGCTCAGGGCCAGGGAGTGTTTGTTGTGTTGTGTTGTGTTGTGTTGTGTATGTGTATGGTGGTGGTGTCCCGTCAAGTCAGTTCCAACTCATAGCGAGCCTGTATTTATTTCCAAGACTATAAATATCTACAAGAGCAGAAGGCCTCATCTTTCTCACATATATATGGGCCACTATAAGTCCTGGTGTGGTGATGTTGAGTAAGCCCTAGACTGCTAACCTCAGGGTCAGTGGTTCAAACCCACCAGCCACCCCAGTGAACCTAATATAGGATCACTGAGTCGTAACTGACTCTATAGCATTTAACTACAAGTCAGAACCTACTTGACTATACCTAACAACAACAGAAGTGTATGGGTGGTGTAAAAGATTAAGTTCTTGAAAACTACCTGAAAGATTGCTAGTTCAAACCAGTCCAGAGGCACCTTGGAAGAGAGGCCTGGTGATCTGCTTCTGAAAGGTCACAGTCTTAAAAGCCCTATGGAGCACAGTTCTACTCTGTAACACATAAGGGTTTGCTATGAGTTGGAATCAACTTGACAGCAACTAACAAAAGTGTGAGCTTCGTGCTCTGCTTTTGGAAGAATTTGTACTTGGTCTATAAGACTAATGTGTAAGAAACAACCAGTAGAAGATAGCCTGTAATCAAGTTTAATTATGAGCTCCAAGAATTTAGACATGGAGCATGTTAATAAGTATGGAAGTTTCCAAGAGAAGTAGCATGGCAGTGGGATCTTTAAGGCGTGAAAATGAGATTACTAGGTGAAGCCTTTAAAAGATGTGCTGGTAAAGCTGAGTAGTCTAGAATTAAGAGGATTTGCTTTGGAGAGAGGTTTTAAACTGAAGACACCATACAACCATCATGGATCCCTGTTTTATGTATAGTGAGATACCGAGACTGGATTGTGGGAAGCCTTGAAACTATGCATTGTAGAGTTCAGTTGCCTTGGCAGAAACAGTGCATGGTAAGAAGAGTTTTTAGTGAGAGTTTCATTTTAGGGGCAATAAACCCTGAGTTAAGGTTGTGGTAGTGCCTGGGAATCCAATGTTGTTACCCTTAGTATTGAGGAAATAATTCCATGAACTCCTCATCCCCCCTTTTTTTTTCTGTGACCTTTGATTATTATTCCACTCCAACCCACTCTTTCTTCACACACACACCTCCCATACACAAAAATCCTATTCATTCACATTTCTGTGTTACTGTTAGGTAAGAATCCTGTATAATCCTTCCCAGGAATATTTGCATTTTTAGTGGGACAAAATGTCATGAGAAAGCAATGCCTCTGAAAATATTTTCAAATGTGAAGGACTTCAAATTTTTTTGTGTTCCTAAAGTCAGAATATGTAGGTGGAACCGATTGGAAGAAAATGCGAAGATGTTGTGTGAGTGCTGTTCGAGGCGCCTGGAGATCTAGTGCAGTGCTTGGCACTTGGTTTTTCTAGCTGCCAGCTGAGTCACCTTCAACTCATGGCCTCCCCATGCGTGTCACAATAGACCGTGCTCCACAGGGTTTTCAACGACTTGTTTTTCAGAAGCAGATTAGCAGACCTTTCTTTGGAGGTACCTCTGGTGAACTTGAACTTCTCATTTTTTGGTTAACAGCTGTACGTGTTAACTGCTTGCACCACACAGGGAGGGCACTCTCATGCTAAATGAATAAGTGAATTGATAAATGAAGACCAGAGATCCAAGATGTTGACGGAGGAATAAAAGAAGGAGATAGAAAGAGATTTTTTACAGAAGGATAATATGACTTGACAACTATGTAGGCCTAAGATAGTTAGGGAAAAGAGTTTTTTTGTTTTGTTTTTAATCCTTAGATACAGGATCCAACTGCTTGTAAATTCAGTGCCAGACCAAGAACATGGGTGAGTCCTGTGTTTAATCCTAGGGACACAGAGAGTTATAATTTTAAAGTTAGTATTTGACAACTTTTCTTCAGTTCACTTGTTTATATAAGTTGTCATGTGCGTTATCTTACTTCTTCATTCTACCTAATGCCCTCTGTTCAAATCTTCTGCCTTACTGTGTGCTCAGGAAAATGAGAGGATAAGCAGGATTTCAAAAGAAATGCTGCACTCAGATTTCTTGAAAAAAATAACTCCCAATTTTTAATTCTTTTCTTAAAAAAAAAAAAAAAATATTGCTGTTGAGTGATTTTGGAATCAGGGTGAGCCCACGTGTCAGACTAGAACTGTGCTCTGCAGTTTTCAGTGACTGACTTTTTAGAAGTAGATTATCAGGTCTTTCTTTCAAGGTACTTCTGGGTGTCCTGGAACCTCCAACCTTTTGTTTAGCAACTGTGAGCTGAGCTCATTAACAGTTTGTAAAACCTTATTCCTAACAATATTTGTCACTTTAAAATTTCTGTAGGACAGCATTTATTATATATATATATATATATATGTGTGTGTGTGTGTGTGTGTGTGTGTGTGTGTGTATATATATATATATATATGACATTTTTATAGAGAGGATCCTGGTGTGATACTGTAGCATAAGCACTCAATCCTAGGGTCGCTTGAACTGCAAGGTCGGTGACTCAAACCCACCAGCTGCTCCTCATAAGTCCAGACCCTCTATAGGACTTCTGAGGAGCGGCTGGTAAGTTTGAACCACCGACTTTGCAGTTAGCAGTCCAGTGCTTATCCTATAGCGCCATACCAGGACTCCACATATATATGTAATTGTGTTATAGAAGTTATGCTTAAAATGACTTTTTTTTGCCTCCCATTTGCACGGAATAAGGTGCTGTCAGCGTATGCAGAGCTAACACCCTATATCTGCCTCCTAAAAGCAGTCCTTCTCTTATACGCAGATTTTCTGGGATCTGTATAAATAAATATTCCTGCCTGCTGACCAGTATTCTGTGTTTATGAAACACATACAGAAAACACACCAGCTGTCGAGAGAGAGTGACTATGACTAGCGAACTTAATTTGGTTTAATGTGTGGTGTGTCCTGTTTGACCTCGGCAGAAATAAAAAATTGTACCTGTTTTAAATGCTCGTATTGGAAGTTTAAAAAAAAAAAAAAAAAAATCTAGAGTCATGTATCCTTTGGAAAAATCTTGGGGTTATTTTAGTGTAGATAAAAGTACATGTTTAATGTCAGATAGACTTGAAAAATGTTTCACATTGCGCCTTAATCACAGATTCGGTTATTATGAATCCTGAATTAATGAGAGTCTGAATTACTATTTTTTTTAATCTTGCTGCTTTTTTTTCTTTCTTTCTTTGTTTTCTAGACGATTGGCTGGCAACGACCTTTCTTTTATCCACCCCAAAGCCTTGTCTGGGTTGAAAGAACTCAAAGTTCTGTAAGTAATGCAATTTTAGAGTTTCACAGTTGGCTGTGTATTTTCTTTCTGCATAGTCAACATGCCTGGAGCTAGGTTAAGCACTGTTTCTTTTAGTTCAGGATTAAAAGATTTAAGGGAGTGGCCAATGGGTGGGTAGTGTGGGAGGGCAGAGGTTGATTTCTGCAACCTTGTGTCTAGATAACAAAAGTTTAAAACCCTAAATAACAGGCATTCTGACCACCAGTGCATAGTTGAAAGTTACGGCTTTTTGTACATCTAATGCATTAAATCAAAACTATATTTAAGTTTAACTGGAAGGGTTTAAGAATCCCTCGTGGCATAGTAGATGAGGGTTGGGCTAGTAGCCTCAAGGTTGGCAATTCAAACTCACCAGTTGCTCCTCGGGAGAAAGATGAGACTCATACCCAGAAACCCTAAGGAGCAGTTCTAATCTGTCCCATAGGGTCACTGTGGGTTGAAGTCAGCTCAATGGCAGTAGGTTTGGTGCTCACATAGCTATTGTTGTTGCTAAGTGCCATCGAGTTAGTTTTGACTCATAACAACCCTGTATAGGGTTTCCAAGGAGCAGCCTTGCAGTTAGCTCTCCAGTGCTTGTCCCATAGCTCTATACCCAAATTTCCTATATAGCTATAAGAATTTTGAATTAACTGACTGTAAAGGTAAAAATACTTACAGGGGCTCTAAATATTAAATAATTTTAGCATGAACACAGGAGATTGAGGTACCTAGGATTTATATAACCTGTGAGGGATCAGGAATAATTCTTGAGTGTGGTCAGGAGCTCGGAGGCTGGTGGGTTGGGCAAAGGTGCACTGGCTGCCAGTCTTACCTAGCGGGTGAACTTCAGCAAGTCAATATACCCCTCTGGTTCAGGGAGCTAGGTGGGCCAGTCTATGATTTTAATAGTTCATGTTAAAACAGTCATGAAGTGGTGATTTTATTTATGTGCCTAGGATCAGGCAGTGTTTCATTCTGCTGTGCATAAGGTCTCTATGAGTCGGTATTGACTCGATGGCACCTAACAATAACAACAGTAACGACATGAGACAGAAATGACAAGAACTTCTTTGTAGGACTGCTCTTCGGGCTCTGCTTGATGATTAAAGCCCTAGTTATGTCCTGACTGACCCCAGATGCACTGAGGAATAGTAAATTGACTTTTCTCTTGTCTTTGTTTCTGGACTGTGTTTCATTTAATTTGAAAAGGCATTTGGGATTCCAATGGATTTTTATTTTATCTCCCAATTAACTTGTTATACCTCCCAGTTAACATTAATTTGGAAGACAGCTACCTGCCAGCCAACTGGAAGACATATATACTTGGGTCATTCCAAAGAAAGATAATTCACGAAAGACAGAAATTGTCTCAAAAAATATCAATATCATATGCAAGTAAAATTTTGCTCAAGACTATTCAAAATTGGGTATAGCAGTATATCAACAGGGAACTGCCCGAAATTCCAACCAGATTCAGAAGAGGACATGGAACATAGGATCTCGTTGCTGGTGCCTGGTGAATCTTGGCTGAAAGAGAAAACCAGAAAGATATTTGCCTGAGTTTTATTGACTATGCAAAGGGATTCAGCTGTGTGGATCATAACAGATTATGGCTAACAGTGTGAACAATGGAAATGCCAGAGCTCTGGTAGCGTAGTGGTTACGAATCGGGCTGCGAACCTTAAGGTCAGCGGTTCGAAACTACCAGCCGCTCCGCGGGAGAAAGATGAGGCTTTCTACTCCCGTAAGGATTTACACCCTCGGAAACCCTGTACAGGGTCACTATGGGTCGGAACCGACTCGATGGCACTTAACAACTTAACTTAACTTTTGTACTCATATGGAAATTGTACATAGACCAAGAGGCAGTTGTTCAAACACAACAAGGGGATATTGGGTTGTTTAAAATCAGGAAAGGTTTTGCGTCAAGATTCTACAAGAGTCAGTCCAAAAGTATTGCTACTACAGTTCCAATTCATGTGCGCATAAATTTATCACACATAAAATGTATTTAAACATATATATGAGGTCAGCGGATGGCTTCAGATAAGTTCTCTCAATAATACACTTGTCTTAGTTGGGTTGTGTGTGTGTGTGTGTGTGTGTGTGTGTGTGTTTAAGGTACTTTTTGTGCCATGGGAAGAAAACAATTTTGAGATCAGGACTAATAACCAATTAATAACTCCAACTGCACATTCTCCCAAATCATTGAAGCTTTGCAACAAGTTTATGGGAATGCTGCCCCACATAAAACAACAGTTTTTAGATGGATGAAGCGTTTTAAAGACGGCCAGGAAGACCTCAAAGATGAACCAAGAGAGGAAAGATGATCAACCTAAATGAATGAAGAAATTGTGACAGAAGTCCAGAAGCTGGTAGAAGAAGACTATAGAATTACTGTTGATGTTGTAGCTACTAAAGTTGCAATCTCACGTGATTCGGCATTTTCCATTTTAAACAAACATCTTGGCCTCAGCAAGCTTTTTGGCTCAATGGGTGCCCAAACCTTGCCATAAAGCTACCTCAAAGAGCAATTTTAAAACTAAAGTCTTTTAAGCTAGATCAAAGTTAATGAAGATGATTTTATGCAATGAATAATAAGGAGTCAAATGTTGGATATGCCATTCCAAGCCAGAGAGGTATGAGCTAATCAAAACAGTGGCTTTTTGAGGGAATCCTTTGGGTCAGTAAAATTCGTCAGAAATATCCGCTGAGATTATGGCAACTCTTTTTTTAGTACTCCATGTGAATAATCTTAATAGATTTTTTCCTGAAGGACTCAGGATAATCATGGGAGTTTATCGTGATAAAGTTTTAAGAAAATCGAAAGCTTCATTGATGGGAAAAACGCCAAGAAAGTTGCACCAAGCAATTCCCCCCTCCCCCATCAAGACAAAGTACTTGTTCATTCTTTGAGGGTAGCAAGGGCTGTTCTATGAGTATTTTATTGGGAAACTGTACCATCCACCCAACAGCCTTGATCTTATGCCTTCAGAATTCTTTTTGTTGCCTTAAGTCACAGAACATTGAAAATGAACAAGATTGGAGTCCATCGAGGATGCCAAAACTATTGTTTTGATGAGTTGTAAATCAAAGAGTGCAGATTTATTCAGGAAAGAAATTGAACAGTGCCTTCAAAGGTATATAGACCTAGATGAAATCAAGAAACAGTAGCTTCCCATTTTGATGTTTTCATTTAATGAAGGTTTCTATGAATATGTAGTAATGCTTTTTTACTTAACCCTCTTTTTCAACATATGTAATTAATCCAAGTAACTGGACTACATGCAGAAGAGTGCAGCATCAGGATTGGAGGAAGGCTCATTAAAAACAACCTGTGGCTATGCAGATGACACAACCGTGCTTACTGAAGATGAAGATGTCTTGGAACACTAAAATGATGAAGATGTCTTGGAACACTAAAATGATGAAGTTTGAAAAATTCATCCTTAACGTAAAGAAAACAAAATCCTCACAAAAGGACCAATAAGCAACATCATGATAAATGCAGAAACTATTGAAGTTGTCAATGATTATATTTTTCTTATATCCATAATAAATGCCCATGGAAGTAGCAGTCAATCACATGACATAGTGCATTAAGCAAAGATGTCACTTTGAGGAATAAGATGCACCTGACTAAATCCATTGTATAAGTCATGTCACGTGCTTGTGAAAGCTGGTCAGTGAATAAGGAAAATCAAAGATAAATGGATGTCTTCAAATTACGGTGTTGGCAAAGAATATTGGGGTATACAGCCAGAAAAGTGAGCATTTCTGTTTTGAAAGGAGTACAGACAGAATTCTCCTTTAGAAGCGAGGAGGTTAAGGTTTTGTTTCATGTACTTTGGATATTTTATCAGGAGAGGCCAGTCCCTGGTGAAGGGCATCATGCTTGGTAAAGTAGAGGGCCAGTGAAAAAGAGGAAGACCATCAAGAAGATGGATTTACACATGGACTCACATATAGCAATGATTGTGAAGACGAGTCAGTATCGGGCAGGGTTTCATTTTATTCTACATGGAGTCACTATGACTCTAAACCACCATTGGGAATGTGGATTAGCCACGTTAGGAGATGGCTTGGTACAATTCCCTAGGTTTCATTTCTGCCTTTATAACAAACACTTCTTACGTTTTTGCAGTTTCCTTGTGTACATTTTACCTTCTCCCACAGCCTTTTTGACTACTGAAAGTTTTTGTATTTTGAAACAAATGGCATTTAAAGATATGATACTAATTTTTTTTTTTTTTTTTTAACAAATGGGTAATTACTGCTCATTTACTAACCAAAAATTTACTTCCAGAACCCTCCAAAACAATCAGTTGAAAACAGTGCCCAGTGAAGCCATCCGGGGACTGAGTGCTTTGCAGTCTTTGTAAGTATCTTTTGGGGTTTTTATAGTTTTGTTGTCCTTTTTAGGTCTAATTGGCATAAAATAAACTCCATATTGAAAGTGTAAATTTGATACATTTTGGTATATGTATGGAGTCCTGATGTAGTGCTGTAGGATAACCACAAGGTTGGTGGTTCAAACCCACTAGTCACTCCTTGGGAATCCTATACAATATCACTATGAATTGGATATGTGTATGAAGGGTCTTCAGAAAGTTCATGGATAAATGGAATTAAAAGATCAATTTTTTTCTTTTTAACTTTTTGTGAACTGAGTGTTAGTTTATAGACAAGGTCATCAGTTTTACATTCGATAAATTATAGACTTTGTTTCATCTCAATGAGTGCAATCCTCTCAGTGAAACAACAGCAGTTCCTCCCTGTGGCTCCTATATCCAGTCCACCTTCCTTGCCATAACTTCTGAACTTTGTCCACAAGTAAATGTTGCCCTTTTGATCTGGAACAATTAACTACTGGTTTGTGATCATACCTTACTATTGTTCTTGTCTCCCTTATATACCTACCTGCTGCTTCTTGTCTCCCCTATATACCTATCTGCTGCTTGGCTGAAAATTAGGCCATGAGTGAGAGTTCTGTTTCACATTTTCTTTCTTTTTTTAAAGTTTTTATTGTGAATTAAGTGATAGTTTACATGGGAGAACATTAACTTTACATTCATCCTATCGTATTTCATTTTATTGCAATGATTACAATCCCCTCCATGCATCATCAACCAAACAAAGGTTGCACCCCACAAACCTGCCCCCTGGCCATCAGCACATAGACCCTCTCCCTCCCTGAGTCCAAAGGCCCCCCGCTGCTCCATCTCTCCACGTCATAGTCTCTGCCTCCATTGCTGGCGTCACTGCTTCTCTGGATCGGGTCCTACACTCCGCTCTTCTCCCTGGATGATTCCAAGGACCTCCTCTCCTGAACTGCAAAATCAACCACTCCTCTGCTTTTGTTATAAAACGTCTACCTTTACATTTACAACAATCATAGTCAGTCCTGATAGCAATTATTCACTACTGAACTACAGGAGTCTTATCCCCATCTCCTTTAATCAGCCCTGTCTAGAAAGGTTGGAAACCACTCAGTGGAGATTCTACCTTCACACCGCACCCTCTGGAACTAGGCTCCCTCTTGAAAGTTTCTGAGCCTGTCACTTCTTGCCTTTGTAGGCCCACCCCCCCACCCCCCCATTTTGGGTAGCCACTGTCTTAAGTTGCCCATCCCTGTCAACCCTGTGTACCGAGGGGGGTGGGAATGATCCTTGCTATAAAAATTTGTTCCCTCTTTTAAGCTACTACATCCATAAGTATAGGTCAAGTTCATCAAATTGTAGCAGATTAGTCTTTTTTTTTTTCCCTCTTTATTTTTCTAGTTGAGTTCTAATCATCCAGCCACTGAAGCCAATTCAAGTGGGTACTGCCTGCCAAGTATGGTTGTTCTTATGCATCTTACCTCACTTCATATCAGCTGGTCGCTTCACTCTCCACTTTAGTCTTCTGTGGCCATGATCCCTGTCTCTGGGCCCAGGACTGCCCAGGACTCCCAAGGTCTTGCCATACTGCTGGCCAACCAGGTCTCAACTCGGGTTAACAGGAGTCTATTGAATATGGTCGGACTTAGCTCATAACTTCATTGATGTTTTTCCCCCTCTTCCCCTTATTGGTGACCACTGTGGTCACCAGCTAGACCACATGCCTGTTCATGTATTCCCCTTGAGTCTTAGTCTTGGAAGGGGGTTTGCCCTGAGAAGACCTGACCACTTGCCTTGAGGGCTCCCGGGCGAACAGCTTGCTTGTTCTTATAGCCGTCAATCAGACTGCCATTACTGTTTTTGATTTTTCCCGCTGGCCTTTCTTTCAAGAAGTATCTTCTGTTCTAGTTGCTCCAGGCTGGTCTGCTTGTCCTTTCAAGTGGAAATTTCCCACCTCAGAAGATTCTGGATGGGGATCAGGATTCCACCTATGGTCTTATGCAATGCAAAGGCTCCACAGGAAGCCTCCTTCCGTGGGCAGGTTCTAGCCCCATTTTAGGTTTTCCAATCAGTTATAGCTTGAAGATGGACTTGCAGACTTTCTATGGTGATTTTCTGACTATTACTCTTTCCCACTCAAGTGTCTATTTTACAATAGTTGTTGTTAAATGCTGGCGAGTAGATTCTGACCCATAGCGACCCTGTATAGGGTTTCCTAGAAGCAGCTGGTGAGCTTGAACCACTGACATAGCAGTTCAAATGGCTTTGCAGTCTGGCGCATTAACCCACAGTGCCACAAATCAAGATTCAAAAGACACCCAAACATCTTAACATTTTTTCCCCTCTTTTACCCATTCCAACCATGCCTCAGTCCCTGTATCCCAGAGCCCTGTTGTTCCAAGGTTATGCATACATCATTATTTACCTCTGTCCCACTTAGCCCATGCAAACCTGCCTAACTGTTATCCCATCTGCCTTGTTCTTCCATTCCCCTCACCCTTCTTGTGTATTACCCCCCCACACACCCAAACTATCCTTTGTCTATTCCTTACCCTGTGCTCCACCTTCCCCTCCCTCTCCTCACCCCACTCCAGACACCCCAGTAACTTGCAAATAATTTTTTTTCCCCCTTTAGTATGGGTACTTTTTCTTAAATCTTTTACAATAGTGGTCCTATGCAGTGTTTCTCCTTTTGTGACTAATTTCACTCAGCATAATGTACTCAAGGTTCATCCATGATAGTGGTGACTTGCAGCTTCCTTGTTATTTTTCAAGGTAGCATAATATTCCATTGTACCACAGTTTGTTTATCCATTCTTCCATTGATGAGTACTTAGGCTGTCTCCTAAGTAATATGCCCATTACATATCTTTTTGCTATTTGTAAATAGTGCTGCTATGAAATTGTTGTGCATGTATCTACTCGTGTTGACTTATATTTCTTGTGGATAAATACCAATTAGAGAAATTGCTGGATCATAAGGTATTTCTATTTCCAGCCTTCTGAGGAAGTACCATATTGCTTTTCAGAATGGTTGGACCATTTTGCATTCCCACCAACAATGCAGGAGGGTCCCAGTCTCTCCACATCCTCGCCAGCGTTAATTGTCCTATACTTTTTTGATCTTTACTATTATTGCTGGTGTGAGATGATATTTCATTATTGTTTTGATTTGCATCTCTCTAATGGCTAGTGATCATGAACATTTCTTTAAATGTTTGTTGGCTGCCCAAATCTCCTCTTGATGAAGTATCTGTTCATGTCCTGTGCCTATTTTTTAATTGTGTTATTTGTCTTTTTCTTGTAGAGGTGTTATAGTTTTCTATATATTTTAGAAATCAGTCCCTTGTCTGATGTGTTGTTGCAAATTATTTTTTCCCAGTCTGTGGGTAAGTTTTTTACTCTTTTGGTGAAGTCTTTTGATGCACATAAGTTTTTAATTTTTAGTGTGTCCCAATCATCTATTTTGTCTACTTTTGTTTGTATAAGTTTCAAAAAATGTTTGGCAGTCTGTGTGCCCTGTATTAGAACCCTCACATTTGTCCCTATTTTTTCATTGATGGCCTTTATAACTCTGGGATTCACATTTAGGTCTTTAATCCATGCTGTGTTGGTTTATGTATAAGATGTGAGGTAAAGGTCTTGTTTCAATCCTTTGCATACCGTTTTCCAGTTCTGCCACCACCATCTATTAAAGAGACTGTCTCCTCCCCTTGCAATATGTTTTGTCAAAAATCAGTTGACTGTGTGTGGATGGGTTAATTTCTGGATTCTCGATTCTGTTACCTTGATCAATGTATCTTTCATTGTACCAGTACCAAGTTGTTTTGATCACTGTAGCC